CCTGTGAGATAGCTCAGCGAGGTGAGTGCCTGCTTACGCAAGTGCAGGGACCCATGGCAAAACCAACCAACCACATGCTGTGCTGGTCCTGCCCACTGGGCATGCTGAGCTGGCCCCTGAGACCTGGTTCCTGCAATCCCAGTGCTGGGGAGGCTGAAAACAGGAGGATCACTATGAGTCAAAGCTGTGTAGTGAGACCCTGTACCAGACACATTAAATATATATATATATATATATATATATATATATATTTAATTAATACTGAATATATATTTATAATTTCTCATATTACATTATTTCAAGTTGAGAATTTGGTGTATATTCCTATATGATTTTCCCTATCCATGTTCTACCAATTTTATTTCTTTTTAAATTGGAAGCAGAGTGCACAGTATATTTGATCTGGTTCTTGACTATGTTTTACACGTATCTCAATTTTAATATATGCTCTTTTCTTTTAAACAGTTGCATACTATACAATATTTATTTTTGTTTTTGTGGTATTGCTAATGAAATCTAGGTCTTCACAGTGGGCTATATCCCAGTCCTTTTTCCCTTTTAGTTAGTTAGTTAGTTTTGTATTGCTAATATACTGAGTTGTGATCCTCTTCACCTTCTAGACTGCTGAAATTGTAAGCATGCACCACCATGCCTAGATATATACTACACAGCTTGGACTAATAGTGATCCTCCTGTTTGCAGCCTCCTCAGCGCTGGGATTACAGGCATGCCAATACACCCAGTCTAGGTGGTAGGCTCAGAGTGCCCTGGGGGTGGGGCATGGCATACAACACTGCAAACCAACCCCAGTCCCTGTGCTTGCCTACCACTGAGCTAGCTCACTGACTCTTCATGCATTTTCAGAGGGAGCTTTTTTGGAGGCAGATGAATCTACAGTTTGTGATTGATTCATAGTTGAATTCATGGATTAAAGGTTTGGGATTAAGGGTGGGTGATTGCTGGATCAGTCCACTGACTGTATTGTCACCACCCTAATCCCAGCAGTCTGGATCAAATAAATGGGGCAGGAAAAGAGTTGTTTCTCACTTTTTTGCTGTCTCATTGTTTTCGTTCTCGCCTGCTGCCATGAACTACTGCCCCTCTCTCACACGCTACCCTGCCTTGGATCCAGCTTATTATGGACTGAAACTTATACAACCTGTGAGCTAAATAAATGTTTCCTCCCTTTAATTCTGGGCATCAGGTATCTTGTCTCAGCAACAAGAAAAGTAACTAAGACAAGACTGCAAATGATAAACACAAGATCTGCTATTGACTAAGGTATATGACCAGCCCTCAGTCTTTTTAAAAACTCATATTGGTTAATATTTATGTTTAGAAAGGAGGTGCTTAATTCTTTATGACACATTTCCGATGGACTAACTCATGAAATTACCCTTCCTTTGAAGAGATGTGCTATGCTATAAAAGAGAAGATACTGACACATATTTGTAAACTGTAGGAGGAATCTGGCTATATAGGAGGTATGATAATGTTTGCTGTATAAACAAAGGATGGAGAGATACCTTATCTAAATAGAATAAAATAAAGTTTTTGTTTCTGTTTTTGTGGAACCGGGGATTGAACTCAGGTCCTTGCGCTTGCCAAGGAAGCACTTATTCCACTGAGCCATCTCCCTGGCCCAAAATAAAAGTAACAAATTGTCTACTTCAACTAAATTAAAATTCCAAGTGTATTACCATTTTAGATTGTCTAAATAGCTAATATTTGTAAGTTTGAAATATATCAGTTATCTTTGAAAAAGAGCATTCTTGCTTCCTTAAAACATTCATGAATTAACTGGGCTAGCTGCTGAGAGTGCAGTGATGAATATACGCATGCCCAGCTCTTCTGGAATTTAGTCAAGTAGCAAGACAGATACTATTCAAAAAATTCAAGGAAATGTAATAAATTGTTATGTGCAAAGTTTGTGCATGAAATATCTTGAAATTCAACCTGAGGTAGCCATGCTATGACTGGGGGACAGTGATGGGACGTGGCTGGTGAGGGGGCCTTCTGTGGCAGGAACCTTAAAGCTGCAGGTAGTACAACTTGGGCAACACAAGGGTAATAGATGCTTTCAGACAGGAAAGGTGGTGGGAGCAGGAGGGAAAGAGCAGCTCTCTCCTAAAATATTTATTTATTTATTTATTTATTTATTTATTTATTTATTTTTTGCGGAACGGGGATTGAACTCAGGCCCTTGTGCTTGCCAGGCAAGCACTTATTCTACTGAGCCATCTCCCCGGCCCCTCCTAAAATATTTAAATTCAAAGAATTTCGTAATTTAAATATGGTACAGCCATAACCCCAAGTGATCAGTGTGTAATCCCTGCTCTACAGGGAGTATGAAAGTCATTAAATGACACTGAGAGTCCTAAAACTGAGTGTTGGGCTGTGGGCCAAGCACCTCAGTGGTAAAGCTTATGACCTGCATACCCACAGTCCTGGGTTCAGTCGCTAGCATGGCAAAACCAACCAACCAATAAAACCTGAGCTTTAGTTTCCAGATAAAAGGGAAACTCTGCACACACTTCTGCACTGGGAGAAAAGCCAGGAGTGACTCAGGCAAGGTGACAAAAGAAGGGTTTTTGTAGAAGGTGGTGGTGGTAGACAGCATACAACTAAAAGAAATGAAGGAAAATGAGAACAGGAAAAAATGTCTGTTGGATTCTGCAACACAGAGGTCAATGACCTTCACAAAATACCTAAAATGTGCTTCTGTGATACAGTCAATCTCATGCAACTTCAGCATGATCTGTGCCTTTGGCCCTATTCACAAGGGCTGATGTAGATCCGTCCCAAACTTCTAGTGCTCTGGCTGCATTCTAGCAGCAATTTGCATGGTGTTATAAACAAGACTATTATAAGTTAAACACATGTTGACAAAGTATTTATTACAAAATGCTTTGCTATCACAGAGACCCATCCTGACTCATGTTTAAAAAAAAAAATGGCATGCATTTTGTGAGCAGTGCTTTAGATTTATTTTAAATTAAAAAAAATATTTATTTGGTATAGAATCTTGCTAAGCAGCTTTGACTTGAGGGGATCCTCCTGTCTCAGCCTCCCCAATGCTGGGGTTACAGGTTGTCACCATGCCTGGTTCTAGTGGCTGGCATGGTGCGCCCAGTGTAGGGCTGGCACTGCATGCAGTACCGGGGATCGAATCCAGGTCCTTGCACTTGCCAGGCAAGCGCTTAGACTACTGAGCTATCTCCCCAGCCCAGTGCTCTAGATTTCTGATAAATCTGGATGCTCAGAACCAAAATTCTATATGTTCTACTGACTTTAAGATAGAGCACATTTGTTGTACAGAAATCAGATACTGAAAACTGCTCTATTCTAACTTGCAGAAAAAATACTCTAAAAATGTCTTATGCAACAGATGAAAGTGTTTTTCTACAGCAAAAATATGATTTTGCCATAAAATAATTTTAAGCTATAAATGAAGCATATAATTGTTAGTGAATCTAAGAAAAAATTGAAAATAAACTATACAAATCAAATTCTCAAACAACTGCAAATATACCAGAATTAATTATTTGTAAAATTATCCTTCAGAAAAAAATACACATTATAGAATTAAATACACATGTATTTTCTATGTTATAGAAAAAAATACACGTTATAGAATTAAATTAAAGACATTTAATTTTTATAACAAAGTAATCATTATTTAAATACCAAAACAGTAATACATTTAGAAACACACAGTGATTTTTAAAGTTCTAGGGAGACACTCTAATGTAACTAAGCAACACATTAACATTTATACAACACAGTTATAATATCAATGATTGATATACAATTACATACAATTTTTAGAAGGTTTTAGGAGAATATTTGTCATGATTAATGCTACATTACACTTTCTGATGAATATAATAGGTATTTTATGTCCAATAATTCAATAAGATTATAACACACATGCTATACTTTTTAAATAGTTGTATCTTAAGAAATTGATACTTTTCAATAAATCTCAAGCAGTAAAGGAACTTTCTTCTTAAATCTTGGATGTTCTCAGGTTAATCTTCCAAACATTCTGCGTCTATATTTTTAGTACCATGTGAATATTTTTTTTTTCTGTATTTAGGACAGGGTCTACAGGGTCTAGAGGGTCTCACTGCATAGATCAGACTCGTAGTGATTCTCCTGTTTTCAGCCTCCCAAGTACTGGGATTACAGGTGCACACCTCTATGCCCAGTCTCAATGGCAGTCTCAGCGCATCCTGTGGGTGGGGCTGGCAAGGCGCACCAGGATCAAACCTCGGTGGCTGCTCTCTGCCTAAGCAGGCGCTGTAATCCGCTGAGCTATCAGGCCGGCCCCCGTGTCGTAATTATTCATCAGTGGCTTTTCATTTCTCACAGTAAAGTTCCATTTCATCTCAGTATTTCTCTTTTCTTTTCTTTTTTTTTTTTTTTTTTTAGCAGTGACAAAGTTTATGAGAAAAAGTAAAAGTGAAGCATGAGGGAGAAACTGGCTCTGCAGAACAAGCCTAAGCCCTGAGTAAAGGAGGAAAAAAGATAAAAGTACACCCTGGAGGACACAGGGCAGGCTATGATTAGGAAGGCCACAATAGCCTCCGTATGTCTCTTTCCAACCAAAGCCTTGGGTTTGGGAAATTTCTTGACTAGCACTTTTGGTTTATAGCACAATCCTGAAGATTATATAATATGAGTATAAAATTATAAGCCTATGTTAATATTGCCTTAATTACCTGAATCTATTGTTAAAATTCTTTACATGTACTGAAACAAGTAAAGGCCCAATTTACTGTTATTTAAATGTTTCTTAATCTCTTACTATTGCTAAATGATCTTGCTATTCTAAAATACATGGAATCTGGAATTTTCTTCAAACCAAGGAAGAAATCCATTTAATCTCATCAAGGTTTAGGTATTTTTCTGTCTTTTGTGATGCATAGATTTTTTTTAACCTTTTAATGAAATATTCTGAATGTTCATTTTTCTGAAAATATATAGCTTTTAAAAAGTAAAATCTTCTTTTCATTGAATACATGATTCTTCCTTTTCTGTCCTTTGCTTATGCACAGAGGAAGGGGTTGTGAAGTAGGATACGTGCTCTTCAACATATATCTACCCTGGGCTAAATGTAGAAATGCTAAACTTTTGGTGCTAGCTTCCTCACCTGCAGAAACAATCTCAAGACTGTGTCCTTGAGTCCAGGCTTTAAAATCCAAGGCAAAAGGCATGGTTTTCTTCTTCCATGTTGCAGTGGCAAGCATTCATTAAGCTGTTACTATGTCAGACACAGTGTTGGCTGCTTTACATATTACTTAATTGTAACTAAATATATCACGCTTCATTTTACAGAGCAAAACACTGATGCTTAGAGATACCAAATGATCGAAAATTTAGTGGCAATAATAGAGTTTGGATATAAGGCTGATTCTAAAGCCTGTGCTTTCCTACTATATTGTGCATGTTTAGTGCCTTTTAGGGCAGGAGGGACTCTCACTGGGGAATACTGGGGAGTGCCTTAACTGTCACAGCCCTAGGGAAGGGCAAAATGATACAGTGTTCCAGCATATCTAGGGAGCCTCCCCAGCACTCCCCCCCCATCACTCCAGACTTAGTTATTAGATTCAATTTACTCTGACAATTTTCCTTTCAGTGTACACTAACTTGGACCATTTTATTACTTATGTATTGGTAGGCAGGAAGGGAACTGAGAAGTTTTTAACTTTGTGAAGTCTGAGGGTAAAAACAAATCAATACAATAAAAATACATATAATTTTATAGATTCTACTCTGTAAAAATTTGTTGCAAAAACTGGAAACTCACAAAATTGTTTATTTATAGTATTATGGCTGTGCTAACATGTGGGTTTCAAGTCAGCTGTTTACGTAAAGAACAGTCAATAGAAGGAAATTCCAGTGTGACAAGCATTTTGATAATTCCTGCGTTATCTCTACAGGATCTAGCTACACCGTGCTCTTCCGGATGTGCTGTGCGTGCTGGTTTCATCCCGCAGCTGTTCCCTTGAGCCTCAATACTCATAGAGCAAGCAGGCCCCTTATGAAAGTTTTTTTTTTCCTTCCCCATTTTCTTATCCTTAAGAGTTTATATATTGTGTTCTTTAGTAATTTTAACAGTCCAGAGATTGCTATGCAGATTTAATTGGTATTTTACATTTAGTCGGACAGAAGTGTATTAGTATCCACCATCACCTGACCTAACTACATAAATATAATTAAAGATAATTGGTGGTTTAGGAGTTATTAATTTACATCCTTGTATCATGTTACTATTAGGTTGTTTGAAATGTTTACATAAGCTAATTTATTTTTAATAATACTATTTTAGTGAGGGCCTGGGGTACAGTTTTCAGTGGCACTGAGTCAGTCTTGGTGATGTAAAAAAGATTACTTGTATGTGGAATCTAATTTTAGCCTCTGCTGTTTTTCACGTTGAAGTCATTTCACCTGTTCCTTCATTTATGGGATAGGAATAAGAATTCCCACTCGAGTATTCTTGAGAACACAGCAATTACAGGAACTGTTCTCTATGTGCTGCAGAAGAGAACACTATAGGAACTGTTCTACAAAGCGTATCTAAGCAAGAGAGACAAACAAGAAGTGGAGGGGCTTTTAAACATTATTATTAATCACAGGCCTAAGAATTAGGTATGGTAGGTCTTAAACACCCTTTCTCCAAAAACCCAGCTACTTCCCCGCTAAACCCACTCTTCCAAGTGGGAGAGAAAGCAATCCTAGAGCACAGTCTGTGGTTCTGCGCTTGCCTCAATTCCCTCATGATTTTAAACTTGAGAGAAGCCCTTTCTTCATTCATCTTCATACCCTTCACCGACCGCTACTGGCTTAATGGCTTGATACTAAACCAGGTCCCTATACCAAGTGGACATCAAGTTAGGTTAGAACCACCTTTAAAGTTCTTTCTCCTCTCAAATGCCAAAAGCTAGTGTTCTTTTTCCTACAAGAATGTTAAAAGAGAATTGGGTCGCTGGTATTCTTCCTAAAAATCGAAAGGAAACTGATGCATTGTTGGGGAAAGAGGAACGACAATCAATTTTGGCGGCGCTTGGCCTGAGACCAGGCTGGACCAACGGGCAGACAGTGGTCTCCGGTCCCAAGCCGCCGCGGTAGGGCTTCCGCTCCTAAGATGCAAATGAAGTGGTGTGAAGGGTTGGGCTTTTTTTTTGTTCCTAAAAACGCAACGAACAAAAAAAAAAGTACAACAATTCAAACCCAGCTATCTCATTGCTCGTCTGCTTATCGAAGAGACTTCCTTTTCGTGGCCCCACCGAGGTACCGCGCGGGCTCAAAGCCTCCTGCAAAGGGAGAAAGGTGAACGCCAGGCCCCGCCCCTTACAGGCGGCCGACCCGGAAGAACTCCGCCTTCGCCCCGCCCCTCGAAGCGAAGGCGGGGCTCGGAAGTCGGCCTCGATCCCTTGGGCGGGACCGCAGGGACTGGTGGGAGCAGGCGGGGCCGCCCAGCACGGTGAGTCCACTTTGCGGTGTTGCCGAGCGGTCGCCGGGTACCTTGCAGCTGGAGGCTGCGGCGCAGCGGCTTCAGGCGCGGGCCTCCCTGCGTGGCCAGAGGTCAGAGATAAGTACCCACCGCCCGCCTGGCTCCTCTTAGGGCAGAGGGAGTTGGGCGCGAACCTGTAGCAAGGGTGGAACTAGCCCAGTCCTGCGGGACCTGCGTAGGTGGGGACTGGCGGGAGCCGTGTGTGAGTTCCCGCCTCGCCTGCTCGGCGGGAACCGAGGCGCGCTGGTAGGACGCGCGGAGCGGCGGCTGCTGTCCAAAATCTTCCAGGTCTGGAGCTCCCCGGGCCCCGCCCCTAGGCTGCGAGGTGCCGCTGGAGGGCGCCCTAACTGAGACGCTTAGGACAAAGAACTCCAGGTGCTCCCCGAGGCTGCGTGGCCTTTCACTAATTCTGCGGAGCTGCCTTTGTCTGGCAGTTGAAATAATTGGGGATCAAGAGTGCAGATCGTATGCAAATATTCTTTCTTTTTTTTTTTTTTTCTGCAGCAGCCACAAGTTTATCATTACGTGAAAAATAACCTGATTGCTTTGTCCTGGGAAATAGCAACCCTGCCAAATACACCTCCTTGCCGGTGAAAGAGGTAAACTATTTTTCTCTTTGATATCGTCATATTTTAAGAAAATAGCCCAGTTTTCCTAGGCCCAGACCTTTCGAAATTGAACTATATATAGAATATGTATATCCCCATCCATTTCTTTCATTGGTGGCCTTTGATCCTTCCATATTTTGTCAAAACTCAGAAAAACCATGTATACTTGCCAGTTTTCTATGTGCTAGGTATTTGAAATCTACTTCTTTTTTTCTTTTTTTTTTTTTTTTCGGTATCAGGGATTGAACTCAGGACCTTGTACTAGCCAGGCAAGCGCTTATTCTACTGAGCCATCTCCCCGGCCCTGAAATTAAATATTTACCTTGGAAAGGAAAAGAGGTTTCAACAGCATTTTTTTTTTCCTAATGCCCAATGAACTGTCAGATTTATGGAGTTTGTATAATAGCATTGTGTTCTCTGTCGTTCTAGAGATCTTTATATATTTGGTATTTTAAAAGCAGAATTTCATTTATATAGGCACTCCTTCTAGTAGGACTCAGAGCTACTGGTTATATTTCTTTGTTGCAGAAACAAAAGATATATTATTTTCAAAAATTTCCTTGATACTAGGGATTGAACCACATGCTAGGCAAGTGCTCTACCACAGAATTAAACCTGATCCCCAGAAGATACTTTTTTTTTTCAGTCTTTTTTATCCTTCCCTAAAAATACTTTTTTGGGAGGGTGTGGAGGAGAGTACCACCTGACTCACTAAAACTCCCTGCTAAGACTTGCCATAATACTGAGCTGTGCTTTTCTTCTACATTTTTGACTGGTTATCTGGCCATCTTCCTTGCCATAGGTTTTGTTCAGATATGTCCACCTGCAGGAACTTTGTACCTGATAGCCTTTGTTTGCTTTGGCTTCCCTTGAAATTACAATTCAAATCTAAGTCTCTTTTAGGCCCTTTTCTTGGTTAATACCCTCATCCTGTAATATAATACCTTAAATGAACATTTATGGTTTTTATGGTGTCTGTACACACGTGTAATTAAAAACATTACACTTACATAGTTTGGCAATTTACAGAATTCTCACACAATATTAGGAAGTTAGTGTAAAAAAAATCCTTATTTTGTGAGGAGTAAATGGTGCTTGAATCTAGGTATGTATTTGCCAGTAGGTTTTGTGCTCTTTCCCCTTCACTGCAGTATCATGCAGTTTAATTTGTAAAAAAGATATCAAATGATAGATATTTTGAAGAGTTATGATTAAACTTCACTTTATGAATAAGGATACTGTATGTATTTTTTAGATGCTGGAGATTGAGCCCAGGGCCTTGAGCATGGAAAAAAAACATGCTCTACTACTGAGCATGCCATTCCTATCCTTTAGAATACTGAATTAGATAGTGCTTAGGTCTCAGAATTGGACTATACTTAGGTTCTACACATAGCTGTAAATTAGGTATTTAACTAGGTGGTTTTTAAGTACAGCATTTTATTTCATTCCTGTCCCTCTTATCACCCTCTTTTCTCAAGATTTACATCAGTAATACATAGATGCATACTAATATTTACTGTCTTTTAAACTTCTTTTAAACTCAGGTAAGTATAGTAACAAGTGTCTTGCTCTTAGTTTTTCACTAAGCTTCATAAAAGTATTTTTCTTATAAGGTGAGGATCTGTATGGAAAGGTAGAGTGCTCATATTTGATTTTTTTTGTTGTTTTGTTTTCAATGAAATGTTCTAAGGTACTAGGCTTTTGGTATAGTGGAACATAGCGTAATTTTTGAAATTATGTCTATGAAATATGTTTTAGCATTTGTCATCTACATACCTGAAACTGAGGTACTCTTGAAATTCCTGAATTTTAATTGTCTCACAATAAGGTGGAAGTTTGGTTTAAATTTCAAAGATAATGGGTTGAGGGTGTGGCACAGTAGTGAAGTGCATGTCCTAGCAAGCCTCCATGGGCGAAGAGGGGGGCATTCCTGAGCTACAAAGCTTAATTATTATCTTTTCCTTTGTCTTTGCTAATATGAATTAAAAGAAATCAGGGTTACCATTCTCAAAATCTCTATATTGTCAACAACTAGTGGAATGGAATGTGCAGAGTAATGAGAATCCTTTTTTTTCCTGTAATTTTAATGTTGTTATGGCTTGTGTCTAGATGCTCCCACCTCCAGCCTCATGTGGTCATAAATGGGACTTTTTGGAGGTGGCTGGATATACAGCGCATGGATATGGATTAAGGATGTGATTCTGGCTTTAAGCATGTGTGGTGCTAAATTAGTCCACTGGTTGGAATTAGCAGGGTTTTGGGTGAGGCTGAATGGATTTACTGAAGACAGAATCCCACCCTGGGTGTGGATGGCACCACTTGAAAGGTTTGTAGCCTGGATGGGGTAGAAGGGAAAGGCAGGCTTGCTGATTGCTAATGGTGCTTGCTGCTTTGCTGTCTCCTGCTTGCCATGCCATAGACTGTTTCCCCTCTTGAGATGTCCCCCTGCCATGCCACCCTGCCTTGGAGCCAGCCAACTGTGGACCCAGACATTGATAAACAACTTAAACTTTTCCTCCATTAACTTTTGGGTGTTGGGAATTTTGTTTCAACAAGTAACCAATACAGATGTCTGGAGAGTATTAACTTGTGTTTACTAGTGAGTGAACAAGCTGGGCACTGTGGCACATAGCTGTAAACCTACCATTGCTATAATCCTATTGCTCAGGAGGCTGAGGCAGGAGGCTTGCAAAAGACAGCCTGGACTACATACAGAGACCTTGTTTCAAAAAAAAAGAAAAAAAAAGAGCACCTTCTATAGTACATTTCTTTTTAGTCTTTTAAAAATAAAGGAATAATAGGGTGTGGTGGCACACTGGAGGCTGAGGCAGTAGGATCATTGCAAGTTAAGACAGCCTTGGCTACACTGTGAACTCAAGGCCAGCCTGAACTACATGGTGAGGCCCTGTTTAATTTTATTTACTATGTATTACTAGTTTTTTTGCATTGTTAATGTTTTGGTGGTTATATTTATTGAACTTCACTCAGTTTAGAATTAGTACTTTTATAGTCTTTCTTGGCTTAGTAGTTTACAATTTTCTAGTAGTGGTAAGTAGTTATAGACTTAGAAAAAGTAGAACTGTACATTGTACTAGATTTTATTGTGTGTAAATTAAAAACTATTCAGAATCGGAAAATTAAGTTGATTTTTAGAAGATGGTAGACAGCTAATATATATTCAGCTACTTGTTGCTATAAAACACTTTAGAAATTTCTAATTTGGAATATTAGTATGCCTTAAAATTTACACGTTTTTGGTATTTAGAAATATTCAAAGGAAGAAGTGAATATTCAAAGGAAGACGTGAATCTGGGAAAGTTGTTTGCCTTTGTACATGTAATGGTATCATTAAAAATGGACTTAAGGTTCAACATATCAATACTTGATGAAAAATACCTGTTCCTTATTATGCCTAAGATGTTTGAAATGTAGTGAAATAGTGAGGTTAAGCTTGATAACGTAAATCGTTTGATAATAACAATAAGCTTTTCTTCTGGATGGTTAACAACCTAAGTTTGCAGACCAAAATTAGAGAAAAAGGAAGGATACAAGGAAAGCCAATATTTTGGCCCTAGCCTTCTAAGGTCAATTAAGACTCAGGACATATGAGAACTTGTACTGTAACGTCAAGTACCTCGGTAGTGTCCCAGATTTTCTGATCAAGAAGGTTATGGGGCCAAAGAGGAAATTGATCGATGACGTGGAGTGTGCCTAAGGAGAGTCACATGAGAAGACACTCTCTCAGGCTTTCACAGAGAGCACATTGGCCAAGCAATGGCCGTGACTCATCCACATGGCTGCACTGACAAAGGTTCTACAGTCTGAGGTACAGGATCTCAGGATAAATCCTGAGGGCATTTCACTGACCTTCTCAAACCAAAAAGCTACAACTCTTGTTGCATAGGTTCTGCTTTACCTTGGCCTTAACCATCCAGTAGAAAAGTATGAAGATGAAATATAGGAAGTAAAGCCATGTTGTTATGTTGAGCTGTGGGGGACTCACGTCAATAATTTCTGACATTGCCAATTAAACAGAAGACCCAATGCTATTATGGGCTTCTGTACTCTTTTAGAATATTTTGCTGAGTTTACACACCTATAATATTCAACAACGGAACTTAAAAAAAAATTGGGGTATAACTATGAATGTCCATTTTGTATCTGTGTATTCAAAGTGGTTGGGATAGATATATAGTTGCATTCTCTTAATGAATAGAATGATTTTTTCTAATGGTGTTTGTAAGTAGGATCACAAGTCTGCATCTTGTACAGCAATTAACCACTAAGAATATATGCAGTGTATTATTTGTTGAAACTGTACTTTCGATTTGATTTGAAACTGTCTCATTGCTATATGTTTATCAATAAAACTTTGAAAAGAAAAAAAACACACAAAAAAAATGGAATAGGGGATCTGTTGTAATTTTGATGCATTTTTTAAGAAAGATTTTTCAAGTAGTGTTTTTCCTCTGTGGTTCATTTTAAGAACTGTAAGTTGATGATGACTTGGGGATGACTGTTACTTCTAAATTTTTTGTCTGTGACATTTTCCTTTTTGCTTTTGGTCTTATTGCCTTAATTTTCTTCTTTGCCCTGGGTGGACCTTCTACCAAAGCATGGCTTATAAATAAGCATGGTGATTTGAAAAATAAGTAGTTGTATTATGCAAATCTCTAAAGATTGACTTGCTTTGTTAGGTAGCCTTCACATTTATTAATATTGCCACCTATCTCAAGAGAAAGTCTTTAATTAAAGTGGGAAACTATCAAGCTTACAGTAGCAAATGTTTTTCCAAAATTCTAATTTTCACATAAAGACCCAATTTTTTCATTGGCAAAAAAATACTGTTTTTTTTCCCCTTACAGTAATATAACTCATTTTGTTCATTTAACTTAACTCTAGTTTGTCATTTGAGGCTTCAAGTAAAAATGGTGTTCCATGAAAAACACAGCGGTATACCTGGTAACTCAGTCACATAAGTGCTTTGCCTCAGACATCATCTCTGGCAGCCCAAGTGCTTTTGTAAGAACTTACTATCACACAAAGCACTGAAAAGAACTGTAGACAAGCATCAGGCTTTATCAGAATGAATAGTTTTTGCTGTTTCATCCGGGACATTTTAAAATGCAACTGTCACTCCCTCACTCCACTTAGTGTGGCAGTGCTGAGTGTAATGACTGTTGGGACAATTTGCTGCTACTTACTGCCTCATTGTATTCCTGCTGAGCTTCCATCAGTATCTACCACCAGGACTTTTATTCTGTTAATGCAAATGTACAAAATGATTGTGACCTTGTGGATTCCCTAGAGGACAACAGCCAATTCTGCCTATTACATTTTGAGAATTGATGCTGGAATGATACAAGATGGCTTTGTTATTCTGATAGTTTAAAACACAACCACCAAATCTCATTTTCTAGGCAAGAGAGAATTGCAATACTCCCACTTTTTGCAAATGACTTTAATAGCTGTTCTTGCCTTTGAGATAGAAAAATATGCCTAATCTTGCCAAGTTTATATGAGAATACTTGCCTAGCTTTATATTTCTGTGCCTCCTTTAAATAGATAACCATTTTACATTTGTGGGCCCAAAGTAAAGAGCTCATTCTATTATGAACACTGAGCAGCTTTGTTTCTGACAGCTAGTAGTCAGCTCTCTGTTTTAAAACAATCAGTTGGGCCCTGCTGGTTCAACTTGCACTTGTCCTAGTCTTAACTCTGTCTTAGCCAGTGACTGCCATCAGCCACACAATGGCCCCCTAATGTGTAGCATGTTCTTATCCTCTCATTAAACATGCTGTGGTATGTGTTCCCTGCCTGCATTTCTCACTTCCTTTGTTTTGCTGGTTATTTCAGATCATCTTAATGTGAAGATACTTTTTCTAATTATATAGTCCCATTCACAAGAATCCCTGAAGTAAAATAAAATGTTTTTTCTCTGGTGTAGGATGTGATGGAGCTGCTTGAAGAAGACCTCACGTGTCCAATTTGCTGTAGTCTGTTTGATGATCCTCGAGTTTTGCCTTGCTCACACAACTTCTGCAAAAAATGTTTAGAAGGTCTCCTAGAAGGGAATGTGCGGAATTCTTTGTGGAGACCATCTCCTTTCAAGTGCCCTACATGCCGTAAAGAAACTTCAGCTACTGGAGTTAATAGCCTGCAGGTTAATTACTCCCTGAAGGGTATTGTGGAGAAGTACAACAAAATCAAGATCTCTCCCAAAATGCCAGTGTGCAAAGTACACTTGGGGCAGCCTCTCAACATTTTCTGCCTAACAGACATGCAGCTGATCTGTGGGATCTGTGCTACTCGTGGTGACCACACCAAGCATGTCTTCTGTTCTATTGAAGATGCCTACGTTCAGGAAAGGGATGCCTTTGAGTCCCTCTTCCAGAGTTTTGAGACCTGGCGTCGAGGAGATGCTCTTTCTCGCTTGGATACCTTGGAAACTAGCAAGAGGAAATCCCTACAGCTATTGACTAAAGATTCTGATAAAGTGAAGGAGTTTTTTGAGAAATTACAACACACATTAGATCAAAAGAAAAATGAAATTCTGTCTGACTTTGAGACCATGAAACTTGCAGTTATGCAAGCCTATGATCCAGAGATCAATAAACTCAACACAATCTTGCAAGAACAACGAATGGCCTTTAACATTGCTGAGGCTTTCAAAGATGTGTCAGAACCCATCATATTTCTACAACAGATGCAGGAGTTCAGGGAGAAAATCAAAGTAATCAAAGAAACTCCTTTACCTCCCTCTAATTTGCCCACAAGCCCTTTTATGAAGAACTTTGATACTAGTCAGTGGGAGGATATAAAATTAGTAGATGTGGACAAACTTTCTTTGCCTCAGGACACTGGCACATTGATTAGCAAGATTCCTTGGAGTGTCTATCTGTTACTTGTGGTAGTCTTTCTGCTTGGCCTCCTCATTTTCTTTGGTCCTGCCATATTTCTAGAATGGTCTCTATTTGATGAACTGACAACTTGGAAAGACCATCTTTCAAACTTAAGTTCTTACCTGACTAAAGCAGCTGACTTTGTAGAACAGTCAGTTTTTTACTGGGAACAAATGATAGATGGGTTTTTCATTTTCAGTGAAAGAGTCAAGAATTTTACTTTGGTGGTGCTGAACAATGTGGCAGAATTTGTGTGCAAATATAAACTATTATAAAATCTCAACCATGTAGTTCTCTGCTTTTTGATAGAAATTGTTGGAGACAAGAGTAGAGTCAGAATTTGGGCAAGATTCCAGATAGGTATTTTTCTCCAAAAGTATTTCCTTCAAAAATAATGTTGTATATACACTGTTCAAATAAGGTAGAACAAAAATATAGTATTACCAACCTGAACCCCCTTTTCCTTTCTAAAGAGTGCTTTTAAAATAAATGGGGCTGGGGAGATGGCTCAGTAGAATAAGTGCTTCCCTAGCAAGTGCAAGGGCCTGAGTTCAATCCCTGGTTCTGCAAAAAAATAAAAATAAAAATAAAATAAATGCCCCTAACCCATATTGGCTGTGTTTATTCTGTGATAAAAACTGGAAGAGGGGGGGAAAATGGAGGTGAGCATGCCTGTAACCCCAGCCACTGGGGAGGCTGAGGATCTCCAGAGCCTGGGAGTTCAGGACTACCATAGGTAACCCCATCCAAAAACATACAAAACAAAGGCAGATGAGAGAATACCTGATCTAATATTAAATAAATGAGGTAAGAGGCCTATTAGTGATTGTTCAATCATGCATTGAAGTTTAGTATAAAGCTACTGTTTTGGACAACATGTAGATTAGATTTCTACATGTTGGTAGAGGGTTGACTGTTCTCACCAAAGTATAAATTTTATGTAAACAAAATTGATGTTTTTTTCTAGTTAACTTGACATGTTTAGGCGGGTAGAGATTTAAGCCTATTCTCTTTCTCCTTTGTTTTGTAAGTTTTCGCCAAAGTGTTGAGTGCTTATGTGAAGAGGTAAGTTTTTTTAAAAATCTAACACTTGTCAGTAGGAAATGAAAAATTCACCTTTATAGTAGTAGCCAAGTGTTGTAGTTCTGTTATTCTGAAGGATCAGTAGAACCAAACCAATCCCCTTGCTTATAGAATTTCAGGTGTGGTAACAGTAATTTAACAATGGATGAAACAATCAGCTATTATAAAGTAAGTAACCAGTGAACACTAATTGCTATCCAATCTGCTTATATGAAATAACCCCACAGAACAAAAATATTTAATTTTCAAAACTTTCTTAGAATTCATATGAAAAAGAAGCAGTCCTAGGAATTGCTTTATTTCTGTCATGGAAACAACTTCCCTTTGAAAGCCCATTGAGAGAACAGAATGTCTTCATACTAGTCCTTTAGTTAGGAGGAGGGGAAGGTACGCAAGGGGTAAGGGTTGCGGGTAGCAAATAAATTCAAGGATGGGAGAAATAATTTCCTTCTAGCTATGAGAAAAGTCAAAAGGAAGCAGCTAGGTGAGATAATAGCTGCCTCATTCCTAACATTATTTGTGATTAGCCACTAAATTGTTAGAATAAGAAATTCTGATGGTGTTTCACCATGGGGGTCCATAGTAAATAAGTCTGGGGAGGGAAAATGCTTTTCTCCCATTAATTTTTTTCAGTATATAACAGTGCACCATGGAGATGTTTTAATTTTTGTGTTGTTGTTGTTGTTTTAGAGCCGGGGATGGAGCTCAGGCCTTTGCGCTTTCCAGGGAAGCGCTTATTCCCCTAAGCCATCTCCCTAGCCCTTAATTTTTGTTTTTGCAGTGCTGGACATTAACCCATGGCCTCACATATGGTAAACAAGAGCCCTACTACAGAGCCATACCTCCAGCCCAAGAATATAATAGATTTATCTGATAGCATTCTTCAGAAATATTGGCAGTTTCCTAGCTGAATTACTCAGTTTTATATGTTGATTGGTTTTGTATCTTGCATGATCCCAAGGACCTCAAATTTGCAAACATCTTTGTATATACTATTTGTCTTAAAATGTTTACACAGTCTAGATCTTTTAAGTTTTGTTATTCTCCCCTCCTGTCTATTTCTTAAGCATACATAACCAGCAACATTTATGGCAGTTGGTTTGTAGCTTCTAGTTGAAGCTAGGGAAGAATGAGTTGTCAGAAATTGGTCACTTTGAATATGGAAGGGAAGATACACACAAGGCTTTCTACTGTACATGTTTCCTGCCTTGGTTGGCAGATAGATGGCACAGATCAAGAATTCAAGATGGTTGGTGGTCAGACTTTTGTGGACAGAGATGTTATATTTAGTTTCATCTTAGATTTTTTTGAGAACTCATCAACTTTTATTACCCACTGCTCATTATTTTTGGCTTCAGAGAGGCTCTTTTCTATGAACTCCATAATTTGGTTGAACTCTTCAATCAGCACCTGCTGTCGTGGAGGTGCATTTCCTGAGATGAAACACTCAAGGTTTTTGGAGTATTTGGCTCTTGCAGCGGAACAGTTGAGATGTTAACTGGAAGGATTACAGTGTTTACAGAGCAGGCTGCAGTACCACCCTGGTGGTATAACTCCCTCCTCAGATGACCTTACTCCTGCTGCCTCCAAAAAGACCTATTTACCATGACCTAGTTTTCCATTGTTGCCTCTGATGGCACTGCTGAGAACCAAATTGGAATCAGGTATTTTGTACTTTGAAGTATGTTTCTACTGTTCTAGAGTCTACTTTTTTTTTGTCTCATAATTGAAAGTTCATGCCTAAAACTTGTCTTGGAAAAATGTGTATTCACATTAATAAACATTGTTTATTAACATTATTATTCACATAATAAACCATTGTTTTATGGTAACCTGTAAAGTTGTGTTAAAATGACTATTTCCTAATGCTAGACACTTTTCAGAATAAATGGGGACAGCAGGAATTATGTGGGACAATTGGAATAAACCAAGGCTGGCTAGGGAAAACTGAGACTGTGGTTGTTTAGGTTATAGTAATTTTACAGATTTTATTCTGCTGCTAATGATTTGGCTTAGAAATGAATTTTTTCAGCGATTACTGGCTTATTTATAGGAATGGCTGTTTCTCTTGATTTCCTTACATGTTGTATTCCCCCAGTACTTATAATTTGAGCTCTGATTTTTGTCTTCAATCGAGAAAAATATTTTTAATACCTTAAAGGCAGATGTATTGCTAGGCAAATTTAGTGTCCTGTTACATTCTTGGCTTTTAACTCAGAAAGCTAGGATAAGCTGTCAGTATGTTAAAGATAGCTGTTCCTGAGTCATTTATTCTCTTTCTGCCCGTGTTGTCTTTGGCTGGATCCTAAGGCAGATTTCCATCCCGCAGACATGAACGCCTCTCCTCACTCCCATGAAAGATGTCTTAAGGCTGTTTTACCATTATTGTACCAATGTGAACGCTAGTTTTAATTTTTAGGAGGAAAACCTGCATATGTTTGATGCTCACTTAAAGTAAAACACATTTTTGTAATGGTAAAGATATGTTAAAAAAAACTGCTAAATGAGCAGTAATCTTCAGAAAGGATGCCCTTGCCTAACTTTCTCACAATATACCCCTTAGACGCATATGCCAAATGGAGAATGCTGGGCAATATGACCATACATATATTTTACACTTAATAATCTGTGTGTGTGTGTGTGTGTGTGTGTGTGTGTGTGTGTGTGTTTGAGAAAAGATCTCCCTATGCAATTCAGGCTGGCCTTGAGTTCACTTTATAACCCAGGCTGGTCTTAAAATTGCAATGATTCCTCTGCCTCAGGTGAGTGTTGAGATTACAGACATAAAGTATCTTTAAAGGAGGTTGAAATGTCATTTTGGGAAGTAGGAGCCAAATAGGCTGATTGTGAAGAAAATCTACAATCCGTTCTTTTATTCACATTTAACTCTGCATAGCTTTATAGTCATTAATGGGATACTTAAAGGAAAAATAATCTGATTTTTTTTTCAAATTTGATAAAGAACCAGATATAGTGGTGCACACCAGTAGCATCAACATTTGGGAGAACTGAAAGTCAGCCTTGACTAGAAAGGAAAAAAGATAAAGCCAGTAAGATCTCTTTTGGGATTCCCTTTTGAAAAAGTTAGAAACCCAAGGGAAAACTATCATTGATCTTAAGGAGAAAGATTGTAGGTTAAAGAAAAGTCTGTGGGGCCAGGGAGATGGCTCAGTAGAATAAGCACTTCCCTGGCAAGCGCAAGGGTCTGAGTTCAATCCCCAGTTCTGCCTAAAAGAAAAAGAAAAGTCTCAGGTGATGGGGAGCTAACTCAGCAGTCTAAGTACCTGCCTGGCAAGTGCAAGGACCTAGATTTGATCCCTAGCACTGCATGCTGTGCCAGCCACCGAAATGGCATGGTGGCGCACACCTGTAATCCCAGTGCTGGAGAGGCTGAAACAGGACCATCACTACAAATCTGACCTGCATAGTGAAATCCTGTACCAAATACATACAGTTTTTTTTTTTTTTTAAAGTCTTAGAACTAAATGTTCTTTAAAAATTGGAGACAGTAGTGTGTGTGTGTGTGTGTGTGTGTGTGTGTGTGTGAAATCAAACAGAGGCCTGCTAGGAAAGCAGTTTACCATTGAACTACATTCCATGCTTTAATAATAATTTTCCTCCAATAGTAATTTTGAAAAATAACATTAGAAACTGAAATTGGACCACTTTTGTGCATAGAAACAGTTTAAAAACTAAACTGTGAATGTGAGAAAAGCATTATATTTTAACTTCCAAAACAGATAATTGCAAAACCAGAAGGTATTTTTATTTATGTAGCACCAGAAGGTATTCTTAGTTGTTTTAAATCAGGTTTTTTTTTTATCCTGTGTCTATAATTTTTTATATTGTACTAGCTTTAAAATATAGATAATCTGGATAAAATATTATGGGGATCTAGGGTGGTTAGGTGAAACTTTTGGCCTTAAAAGTTCCACTGTTAAGCGTGTTACAGCGTCAATAGTACATATTTTTGAGTTTTCCTTAGTCTTTGGTCTGAATTTACTCAAGTTTAGAGGGTGAAACATGGTGGAGTAAGCCTGAAGGGTCCTACTATAATGTAGTATGTCATCTAGCTAATTCACTGTCTCACCAGTTTGATGTATACCTAAGAAGTAGCTCATATATTATTATTTAAGTTCATAACCCTAGAAATAATTGGGCCTGGATCTTTCAGATGGCCATTTATGTCACAGCATATTATCAAGCAAGTTACAGTTACATGCTTCTAGTGTCTCTTTGGTAGCCTTTATTCTATACATTCTCTCCCTGTTAAAATTGGATCAAAAGAAAAAATATAGTTGCTGTAAGAATTTTTAAAATAAAGGGCTCACGATATACCTCAGTGGAAGAGTGCCTGCCTAGATGCACCAGGATCTAGGTTCAATCTCCATCATTCTCACTTGTTTCTTCTAGTCCATCTTTTTTGTTGCCTTGGTATCTTCTTGTTCAGTTTGGCTTCAAGGGGAATCAATGTACTTTCTTGTAAGTACATTCTACTTTGTTACTACCTGCTACTTTCTATTTGTATATTCTTTTGTGATATTCTACACTACTTTCTGACAAATGTCTCTAGACTGTATAATCAAGGTTTGGGTCGTGGGAGTGGACAAAATGATTTTTATTAATGTTAAAATTTATTATAGCAAACTAAAACTTTTTTTTTTTGGCAGTGTGGTTTGTAGTTTGATGATCCTTAGATTTTATTACTAACTGTTTTCTTTATCAAGAATAGGTTTCTAAATGTGTGATACAATGACCACTCCATTGTGGAGATACTCATTAAAAAAGAGAATGTTCCGAAGCAGCTTTCTGCCCCATAGACTACAGACAGTTTTGGTTTCTGCCTCAAACTAAGCCTTTTTCTCCCATTTTATAAATAGTTGGAGGATACAGATAAAATCGTTGATGGCAGATAAGGAAGGAGTAATATAGCTGTGCATGTATGTAGTTGTGTTATGTTGATGTTAAACCCAACATGTAGCCAGTCTGAAAAGTTCAGGAATATTTTTCTTAAATTGTATGCATTAATTTTGTGGAGTTGCCACAGTTTTTTTCATTTCATTTTTTGCTATATCCATTCCAGAGGCCTTTTAACCCTTTTTGCTCTTCAACAGTGTTGAGTTAAAGCATAGCAAAATCTTTTTGACACTTTCTATCTGCAAAATTGCACATGAAAAATGGGTTTGGCAGCAGTAAGTCACTAGAAAAATTTTAATGTCAGTGCTAACAATTGGTAAAATTACATCTGTGGGGACTCTTCTAAATGTACAAAGTATTCATTAAAGTAATTGATTAAATCAGTTAATTTAATTATTAAATTGATTAAAAGCAAATCAAAAATTAAAATACTAGAAATAGTTAAATTATGATACAAAAAAATTAGGCCAACTTAGTTTGATCAGGTTATTTGCTCTGAACATGGTTTTTCAATGTTGATTACATTCCTAAATGTGGAATTGAAATGACTTTGGAAATTGCATCAAGTTTTCTATTTTCAGTATCCTAAATTATTGATTTGGAGTTGTAAATGAAGTCTCAAAAATTTGCTTGAAAACAGTAGTTTTGTTGAAAGTTAGAAGTAAATTTATGGGTACTTTTGTGTTATTACAGTGATGCTTTATAATTAAACATTTTTATGTATGTCCCCAGGTATGTTTCTGTAAAACCTAATAACCGAAAATTGGTCAGTGGAACAAATGTCATTGGCTTACTTACTGACACTTCATTACATGAATGTTTTTATCTGGCTAGTACTAAAGCAGTATCCTTGGAAGACAACAGTGAATGCTACGGCTTTGCAAAGATAAAAAGTCCTGAAGCCCCTAGCATGGAAAAAACCAGAAAACCAGAGACTACCATCAGGCTAGAGGAACCTGAGAAAAAGAAATGAAGTCAGTTCTCTCTTAAAGGGAAACTTCTAGGGCTGGTGGCTTAGCTCAGTTGTCTAAAGCACCTTCTTGAGCAAAATCAGTCAGGGGCAAGGGACTGAGGTTCGATCCCCAGCACGACATGCTGTACCAGACCCACCCTTAAGGCAGCCTGAGCCAGCCGAAAAAGAAAAAAAAGAATCCTTAAAGGGAAACTTCTTTGAAAATCCTGTATTTGGAGCACATATGTTGGTCAAATTTGTACTCTGCTCAACTTTGTGTCCTCATCTCCTACTATGCCATCTCTGGGCAATTAGGCCCCAACAGTACCTACACCACATCAAACTGCCTGCTGCTCTCTAGAAAAAACTATACACTTAGCGTTTTGGCACATGTTCCTTTAATATTCATGCCTCTTCTCTATTTTCATGAACACTTACACAGCTTTCAAAAATGTGCTGTAGAGTTGGACTACTTATTTCTAATTCATGTTCATTTATTAGTTATGTGATTTGGACAAGTTCTGTAACCTCTTTGTGCTTCAACATATTTACCTACTAATTAGGGATAATAAAGATCTCTCTCATAGCATAAATAAAGACTAAAGGATATAAGTGCTCAGTGTATTGACTAGCATATGGTAGGCACTCAGTAACTGTCAGTGATAAGGATGATGAAAATGGATGAACCACTTTCAACTGCGTGTCTTGTGAGACCTTTTCTTCCTTTCTTAGGCATATTAATCGACTTTGTTTGTTTTTGTGGTCCTGGGGATTGGACCCAGGGCCTCATAAATGCTGAGCACATACTCTACCATCTATGCCCCCAGCTACCCTTCTGTATAGATTATATACCATCATAAAAACAAATTTTTCTTGAACATAAGCCTTTAAAGGTTTTAATACTACTATGTGTAAAGTACTGTGCTAACCCCTTGGTGAGAGCAATACCTTTTTTTAAACTAGTCAGTACCTAAAGTTGGTGAAAAGCTTTAGAATAGCCTCTACCAACACTTAAAACACACGTATTCTTCAACTTAGTAGTTGCTCTTCCAGGTGTTCTATATGCATCATTTTAAGTACTAGGAAAAACACTTAGAAAAGGAATCACTAAGCCAAAGAGCATTAAGTGCTTTGCAGAGTGTAAAAAATTGAATGGAAGCTCTTAACATCATCTAAAAGTATATAATTTATTCAAAAAAATTTTGGATATTTTCAGGAGTATAAAAAGATTAAGACAAAAATCTTTATTCTGGAATAGCTTATATTCAATACGTGCATCATCATAATAGCACGAGATTAAACATAAGCTCAGGGACTGGGGATTTAGCTCAGTGGTAGAATGCTTGCCTAGCAAGCTGAAAGCCCTGGGTTCAGTTCTCAGCACCAAAAACAAAAAATAAACTTCAACTAAAAAACAATTAGGAAAAGACAATAAATAAACATAAACTCAAAGTTCAATATGAAATGGATTCATGTAATGAAGTATTATGCACTGCATAGAAAGAATTAGGCAAAATTTATAAACTAGGAAAGCAGACTGTCAAAATATGTTAAGTGAGGTAAAAAAAAAAATCCCAAAGTACAAAACTATCAAATGGAGAAATATATGTACAGTTTATGAAAAGTAAATAGGAACATTTAAAAATAAATGCATATAATTTAGCAATGATAGAAGCTACCTGTGGAGAGGGAACTGAATGAGTGAGATTTAGATGCAGGAGGAAGATTTCCTTTTCATGAAATGATGTGGATGTATACTTATTTATTAAAAAAGCTTACCTGAAAGATTGTGTGTGGAAGGGAAGGAGAGAGGCTACTGTGGCCTTGTATGACTGATTGTTTCTCATAGACACAAATTTTACTCCTTCCTGTGAAATACATTCACTTAGTAATTAAGTTGAAATTACAAACTTCTATATTCTAAGTTAAACAAAAAATAATTTTGTTTTAGAAGAGATTTATTTATTTATTTGATACGGGGTTTCACTTCACAGTTCAGACTTGTGATCCTCCTGTCTTAGCCTCCCCAGTGCCAGGATTACAGGCATGCACCACAATGCCTGTTTTCAGGCCAGTCCTGTATATATAAAGTTCCGGGGCCAGCACAGCATACAGTACTGGGGATCAAACTCTGGTCCTTGAGCTTGCTTGGCACCACTGAGCTATCTCCCCAGCTCCCCAAAATTTAAATTTGAAATGTTGCAAGAATATGTTTGCTTTGTTTTGTTTAGTTGTTAGCAACTCAGTCCTTTCTGCGGAAAAGCCAACTAATTTGTTTGAGTGTGTTCTAGTTTTGCAGATACTGTATTTATTCTAATTCACTTGGTCTAGTTCATTTGGCAACATTATACTCTAGAGCACAATATTTCTATTCTGATAATTTTTGCCACATATATGATTTAGTTAGTTGAGTAAATTGGCAAAGTTTAACATGTAACACTTTGATTCTGTATAGTGCTTTGCTGGTGAGACCACTAAAGACTGGCAAGTGGTTAAAAACATACTGAAGCAAACAATGTTGTACCTACCATTTGGCAAAGAACAATACAGGAAATGTTTAAACTGCTATTAATGCATTCTCAGTCATTCACTTTTGCAGGCAACAATTTTGAGATTAGAAATAAAATTTTCTTATGGGGTATACCTATGAATGTCCATTTTGTATCTGTGTATTCAAAGTGGTTGGGATAGATATATAGTTGCATCCTCTTAATGAATAGAATGATTTGTTCTAATGGTGTTTGTAAATAGGATCACAAGTCCGCATCTTGTACAGCAATTAACCACTAAGAAGAATATATGCAGTGTATTATTTGTTGAAACTGTACTTCCGATTTGATTTGAAACTGTCTCATTGCTGTTTATCAATGAAACTTTGAAAAAAAATAAAAATAAAAAAAGAAATAAAATTTTCTTTTTAATGAGCTAATAGAAATATATGACCTATAAATATACACATAATATTCATTCATTAAATTTTTATGGACATCCACTATGTGCCAGGATAATTCTCAACATTGTAGATCCTTATTGCACAGAGCAAAAAAGTTCTTGCCCCTGTAGGGCTTACCATAAATGATTCATAATATTGACAATAAGTTTAAATTAAAACAAGTTTTTCAAATATTTTCTCTAAAGTCATGAGTTGATATTTTGAGATACTATCATAATATATATATATATATATATATATATATATATATATTCATTAGGAAACATACACAGTACTTTTACAGTGGGTAGAATATCTTATTTTAGTAAATATTCCAGAAGTCATCTCATCTGTCGGTATCATCTCCATGCCTCTTGTGTCTACTTTAACTAGAATGGAACACTATACTTGGAATATTTAGACATGCAAACAAATTGAGTCGTTTTGAAAAGGAAGAAGGGCAAATGTAGGTTAAAGAAAATAGGAATAGGTTAGATGCACCAGAGGTCCAACTAAAAATACCTTTGACTTGTTTTAGGGGTAAAAAAGAGAAGAGGGGAGAGTTTATTTTTTTGGTGCTGGGGATCAAACCCCTCGTGCATGCTAGGCAAGCTCTCCTACCACTGACCCAGTCCTGCCAATTAACTCTGACTTCTTGACTGAATTAATTTGTGTATTTTAAGTTATAAGAATTAATGACAAATATTTGTCTTGGCCAATTGTACAGAAAATCTTGTTCTTTTAATAAATCATATATACAAATCACCACAGAGGCGTATTAAGATTTGTCAGTCCTAACAATAATGTTGGGGCCTCCTCTATTCTCCCACTTCTGTTAAGCTTGTTGTGGATTCTTTACATCACCAGAAATGACAAGGCAAAAAAAATTTTAACTTTGGATTCCATGTCCTCTTTTTTTTGGTTTGAGACAATGTCTTGCTATGTAGTTTAGGCTGATTTTGAACTCACTATGCAGCTACTCCAGGCCTGCCTAAAACTCAAGTTGATCTTTCTGCCTCAGCCTTCCAAGTGCTGGGGTTATAGGCATATACCACCAAACCCAGCTTTGGGATTGTTGAACCTCAGTAATTTATAAGGGGTTGAAAGGAGATCTAATGCTGAATTTTACTCTTGAATTTAATATATAAGTCATAAATACAAAGAGTTCTTAGGTAATGGTAAAGTTGGAACAAATTTAGGCTGTTTAAAACACACCTGAAATTTTACATTTTTTATTATTTTGTTGTATTTTTTTAAAAAAATAGTACAGGGGATTGAACTCAGGACTATGCACTTGCCAGGCAGGCGCTTAAGCCACTGAGCTATCTCTCTGGCCCCTATTTTGTATTCTTTAAAAATAAAAAAGTAAAAAAACCTGAAATTAGAAGCTTGAAGTACTATGTAACAGTTGAGGAAAATCAGCTTGAGAGATAAATGGTTTAGAACAGTAATGGTGAACCTTTTAGAACTTTCAATGATAATAAACAGCTGGCTGTGGCATGCTTACCATAGGTTGGCCACCACTGGTTCAGGAAACATAATCTGTTTCTGACTTTCCTTGCATATGATTTATATATAATAAATTAAACTTCACTTTTGCTTTAGAAGACTTAATACTGGTTCTCTAAAATAATAGAAATAGTCACATCAATCACGAGAGATATAAATCACCAAAGACTATATTAGAGTAATACAGATTTGCTAAGAATATTTTAAACTTCCTACATATAGAGGAAGTTGCCTGTAGCAGCAAATTTAGCAGCTACTAAGGAAATTTTGCCAAAGAAGTTTAGGAAATTTCATTACCTCCCTGGAGCCTAATAATCCACAGGGGAGAACAACATGGCATCAAACTTGGTGTTTTAAACAAACCAACAAACAAACAATTCAGGCCAGGGATATAGCTCAGCAGCATAGCATCTTTCTGGCAAGGCCAAGCTCCTCAGGTTCATTCCTGGTACCAAAAAATAAATAAAAACTTCAAGAAATACAGAGAAGAGATAAAAACATGTTACTAAAGATACTTGGATTTGGGAAATATTAACAATCTAGTTTAAAAAAGCACAACTACCCACAAACTTTGTTACAGAATTATATTTCAAGAAATACTAGGTCTACCATTAGAATTATTAAAGATGAAAAATTAGTACAAATTTTTAAAGTACTCATCTAAAATGATTTAATACACATATTTATGAGACAGAAACAAAAAATCCTCCTGAGGCAGTTGTTTTGTTGTTTTTATTTTTGAGACAGGGTCTCACTATATAGTTCAAGCTGGCCTTCGATTCACTGTGTAGGGTGATCCTCCTGTCTCAGCCTCTAAAGTGCTAGGATTACAGGCCACCACCATGCCTGGCTTGTTTGTTTGTTTTTGTTTTTTTTTTTTTTTTGCGAAACTGGGGATTGAACTCAGAACCTTGCGCTTACCAGAGAAGTGCTTATTCCACTGAGCCATCTCCCTGGCCCCAAGTAGTGGTTTTCAGACTTTTTTTTTTCTGGCGGAACCAGGGATTGAACTCAGATCCTTGCATTTGCCAGTCAAGTGATTATCCTACTGAGCCATCTCCCTGGCCCTTGTTTTGTTTTTGAGAGAGGGTCTTACTATGTAGTCCAGACTGGCCTCTGATTTGTAATCCTGTGTCAGTCTCCTAAGTCTGAAATTACAGGCCACCATGCCTGGTCCACAAAAATGTTTTAATGGACTGAAAGCTAAAGCCTTACATGGGTAAAAAAAAAAAAAGGAAATAAGTATTAGGCATAGCATAGAATAAAAAAAGAAACTAAACATGGAGCAAAATAAATGGGACTCAGCTACTAAAAGTAAAATGTACTGAGACTTATCTAATTGTACAGGGCCTTCAGGTAGGCAGTCTTTGCACCTTCAGATTTTATACTAGTAGCTCAAATTCAAAAATCATTAAGACAAATAGCTTTTTAAAGTATCAGATGGGTAAAACACCAAATGCAAACTCTATGTACTTTGTTGCTTTTCATAATTTCTTAACACTCTGAAAAGAGCATGATTGTCACTGGTTTCCCTAGTAGGCTTGACTTGCCTTTTCTGTAATATGGCTTAGCAATAGAGCACTTGCCAAGCATGAACAAAGTCCTGGGTTCAGTTCTCAGAACAATGGTGAGGACAACAACGGTTCTAGGAGTTCTTTTAAGATGAAAATTAGGGTAATGCTTTATAGTGGATCCCTGCAGTTCTTGATACCTAATCGTTCATGGACTGAACTGAAATGTTTGGAAAGCTATAGTCTTGGTGAACAAACACTTAGAAAAATAGGAATTTGTATGAGAATATTTATATAATCTAGTCTGGAAGAGCTGACTCAAGTAACAGACCACAGAAAAAATCCCACGGTGTTTTCTATTAGAAATTTACTTGGATAATTCCATACCAAAATGAATTGAAAATATAGATACACTCAGGAACCCTAACTTGTGGAAGTTACACACAATTATAAAGTTATAGTAAGACAGTCCAGCTATGACTGGAATGTACATAATTTGTTAATAAAAATAAGGAATGCCACAAATATGCTTAATAATTTAAAACATTAAGAGAATACAAGTTTAGAAGGAGTGTCTCATGGTTATAATTGATATTAAAAATTCACTTACCTCCATAATTTAGCAATCATGAAAATAGATAAATCAGCAGACCAGGCATGCAAGTCAGATACAACTAGGACAAAAAAAAGAGAGAAAAGATTCCCAGTTCTGGGTAATGCAATTCGAGGTTGTAGGTTCACCAAATTTGTATTGATCAAGTGGTTAAATGATTAATATACAATGCCCCAACATCTTAATACATCCACAGGATATATATCTAAAGTGGTTCTGTTTGTTTCTTGTTTTTGAGACAGGGTTTTGCTATGCAGTTTAGGTTGGCCTTGAAACTCACTTTGTAGCCTAGGCTAGCCTCAAACTCATAGTGATCTTTGTGCCTCTGCTCCCAAGTGCTGGGATTATAGATGTGTGCTACCACACCCAGGCCTATGACTAAAATTTTTAAGTGTTATCTTGTAAGTACAGATTAACATTGTTTCTTTCTTTTCTTTTTTGTTTTTTGAGACAGTTCAGGTTGGCTCTGAACTCAATATGTAGCCTGAGCTGGCTTTGAATTTGCAATGTAATTCCAGCCTCCCAGGTGCTGGAATTACAGGTGTATGCCACCATGCCTGACAACATTTCTGGTTTCTTTAGAAGTCATTAAAATCAAAGACGTAGAGTAATGATGAGAGGCTATTTTTCATGGCAAGTAGTAACTAGGTAAACAGAGCAAGATACTTTGGCTTTATAAATAGTAATTGTGCCTAACAGACAACCAAGATACTTGCTTTCAATTCATTTTTAAAATTTGTTGCTCTGTTCACTTTCCAAACTCTTCCAATTTAAGCAGTGCTGAATTTCTACTTGTTTTTTTTTTTTTGGCTACTAGTTTTCTTCAGAAGCAAACCTGATTTATCATGAGAAAAGGTTTCAGACCTTAGACAGAACCTTCACTTCCTCTTAAGTATGTTTTACCATCAAAAACAAGTATTCAAAGAAGGAATCTCAATTATCTAAACCTATTTTTGGCCATCTTCTGGAATTTCTCATGAAATCTCTTTTAAAATGCCACAGTTGCACTCTTGGAAAACCTGTCTTCCTGTTTTCAAATATCTGTTTATTATTATAGCTCTTCAGCCAGATCTTTGTAAAGCTTTATTGTTTCTTGAAACTGGAGACCAGCACATTTCCCCCAATTCAATTACCTGCCTTTCTATTTGAGAAATTAGTCATGTCCATTTTATGAAGTTTCAACTGACTGAATTATTTGCCTTTAAGTTCTCAATTTCATTCCCTCAGTCTAATACTTTTATTTAAAGTAAGGCTTTTATTAAAAGAGCAGATAAGGTTCATGAATGTTAGCACATTTCAGTCATTGACCCTCATAACTGATAAAAGTATAGGGATTTTCTGACAAGCACAAGCATTGGTGACACTTTAAGGAAAAAAAAGGAAATATTTAATTCAGTTTGGGGAGAATTTACTTAAGATTACATACAACAAAATAGTTTATTTACAAAAATGTGTGCTCATAATTTTTAAAGGAAAATATCTGCTCCCCTCACCCCCTGGCCCTGTTCTTAATAAACAGCTTCACTTAGCTTATCTACCCTTATTGGCTTTATGTAAATACCTGCCATGTATACCTCTTCAGCTAGACTTTACGCAGAATTTCAGCTCTGTATAACTAGCAACCCTCAATCAATGCATTTCAAATTAAGTGCCTGAATATCAGCTTAAATGTTGCAATACAAAAATGAGCTGCAGTGTTTTCCCATGGCTTATCTACTACACTATCCTTTTTCCTTTTAGTGATATCACAATTGTTTTCCAGTACAGAAAAATGTATAATTTTAAACCTCTCTTTATCCAAACCATCATGATATTTCACAATATTTTTCTACTTTTGCTATAGGTTTACTTTTTCACCCCATTCTTCTGTCCCTATTCTGTTGAGGTTTTCTTCACTTACTAGAATAGTCACATGTCCAGTTCCTTGCTACTAGATTTTATTTCTTAGATGTTTTTACATATGACATTGGCATATTTAATTTCCAAAAAGTCAACTTCCATATTGCATTGCAATAGGGTATGAGATCTCCCTATTTAGTTAGTCCTCTAATTGGTTTTCCAGGCAAAGGCCCATAACTTAGTTCTAACCTAGTTATCCAAATTTCATGTAATTTTTGCCTTGACTTTAGGGCCCAGATCCTAGATTACTTTTAGGGTAATGTTACATTCTATTTTGATTTAAATTCTTACAACGAGGAAAATGTACTACTTGACAACTATATGCATCTTAGTCTGCAGGCATCCAGGCCACAAAGTACAAATGAGGACAGGGTTACTGACAACAGGAGCCATTGCCTAACTCCCTTGGGAGTCCCCAGAAATACTTACAGTTTTGTGCTGAGGAGATCATCTCACGTGGCACATACTTCCCTTTACTAAGTGAGTTGCTGTAAGGTACTTTGCTCTATTCAGTGTCAAGTTTTGCTTCCACTCTTAGTCCTTTCGTCATATGGTCTAAATATCTGGTTGTTAGTCTTCACTGTTTTATTTTTTGTTGTTGGTCATGATTGTGGTGTACGCAGCCATGGAGTCAAAATTTATACCTGGAAAACGGGTCATAAGACAAATCAAGAGAGAAGAAAAACTACTTTACCATAGGAACCATTATTAAATTGCTGGCAGAATTCCCCACTGTTGGCTAAATGACTAACAGAAAGTCAACCACCCCTCAACCAAAACCAACAGCAACAACCAACTTCAAAAAATACAATTAAGGAATGGGGGTATAGAGGCAAAACCCTTGCCTAGAACACTCAATGCATGATCTGGATTCAGTTCTCAATACCATACAAGTATACACACATATGTGTAATTTATGCAAAATATCATACAAATAAATGTTTATCTCAATAAAAATTATGCCCCATCAATAAACACATACTATATACATGACCCACAATTTTCCTCACCTTCTTAATTTCTGATATTTTTTGTGTGTGACTTGATCTCTTATAAAATTGCCCAGAAAACTATATAAGAAAATCTATTTTATGCAATAAGGTGGCTCTACTAAGCAGAAACATTCCATTCATTTTCGCGTCGCCCAGAACTATTGCAAGTACTTAAACATTATTTTTTCCCTTTGGCAGTTCTGGAGATTGAACTGCTAAATTGTTCAAATTGGCCTTAATGTTATGATCCTGTTTTGCCCAAGCAAGTAGCTGGGATTATAGGTATATCTATTTTCTGAGGCAGAAGTATTTGATTATAAAAATGTATTTTGGGGCCAGGGAGATAGCTCAGAGGTCTAAGCGTCTGCTCGGCAAGCGCAAAGACCCAGATTCAATCCCCAGATTTGATCCCCAGACTCAATCCCTGGTACTGATTGTGGTGCTGGCCCTGCTCTGGGCCTACTGAGCTGGTCACCAAAACCGGGCATGGTGGTGCATGCCTGTAATCCCAGCACTGGGGAAGCTGAAACAGGAGGATCACTATGAGTCCAAGCTGCTTACAGAAACCCTGTACCAAATATATAAATTTTAAAAAATATATATTTTACTAAGGTTGAACCCAGAGTGCTCATCCCCAACCATTTATTATTGCATCCCCAACCATTTATTATTTTGGGAGAGGGTCTCATTAGGCTGCAAAATTACCCAGGCTGGATCAAACTTACAGTTTTCCTGCTGCAGCCTCCCTAAGGACTGAGCTTACAGGAATGTGGCACCACACCTGATTTTTTTTTTTTTTTTTTTTTTTTTTTTACATACTCAGCTGCTGAATTCTTCAGTGGATGGATCCACTCATGAGCATATCCATGATCCAATCACCTTCAGAACACATAAGACTTCAGCCTACATTTTTAAATTCTGGCTTAAAATATTTATTTGTACATGTTTATAATACTTAATTCAAAATGGAGTTTACACATGTACCTTACACATCTTCTGTCCCCTTCCCATCCCAGCTCTTCTTCCCTTTCTCATTTGCATAAACTTATTTTTTCCTTCAATTTTTTTTCTTTAAATACCTTCATCTCTTATTCCTATTTTTTAACATAAGCTGTTTTCATGCTATCATCTCCTGTGTCCTCAGAGACACACAAATAAAGGCAACAGGTACAGTCATTAAATTGGCATTTCACATTTTGTTGGAATGGTTAGGCATGATCAGTTAGATCACCATTCACCCTCCAGAAAGGATACCAAACCAGATGTGGTGGCACACACCTACAGCTCCAGCTACCTGGGAGGCGGAGGCAGAAAGATCCCAACTTTGAGCCCAGCCTGGACAACTCAGCAAGAGCTGGTCTTAAAAAAATAAAAAAAGGACTGAGGGCATATAGGGGATGACTGAAATGCATAGTGAATGTTTAAATTACAAAGTTAATAAAAAGGATGTGTTGCCATTAATTCTCAAAATATTCCATCACTTTAATTATCCCATTGTTCTTGCTACTTTTTTGTTTACATTATTTTTATTAGTACATGTTTGCAGCACAGGATTACAGTCATTATGGGGCATCAGCACATACATGTAACACATCTTATTTTTACATACACACCCATCTCTTGGTCTTCTTCTTAAATTGTCTTGCCGAAGATTTAGCTGTTTCTTGTTTGTTAGTTCTTGCCAATTTCTAAAGCAGTTCTGGAATGCTTGCATAACTTTACATGGTATGATCAAAAATGTGGTGAATGCTGCTGCAGCCTGACATCTAACAGAAAGGCAGGCTCATGAAAACATTATAGGTGTCTTCATCCACATTATTAATTGGATCCAGTACCACTTATCTTCTAGCTGCTCCCTAAAGTAAAAATGACCATGAAAGGAAAATATTTTGAATTGATTCAGGATGCTGAGGCAGTTATAACAATGCAACCAAAGACAGTGAGGTAAGAGGACTTTCAGAACTGCTTCAGATAGTAGTAAGTGTACCTGAAGTGAGTAGATTAATGGCGATGTGTCTTTAACAGTAATAAAGTCTAAAAAAATTAAGCATTCACTATATTTTTTATTATACCCCATTCAAGTATAAAGGGTCTGAGTTCAATCCTTATTACTGCAAAAAACAGAAGGGATATTAAATCTAACAGTACTGACTATTCATACCCTTACCTCATACCTACTTTTCTGGCTTTGATTTAAAAAGTGACAATTTAGGGCTGGCCAGATAGCTCAGCATATTAAAGCGCCTGCTTAGGCAGCTGCAGGGGCTGGTGTTTGATCCCCAGCTTGCCAAACAGCCCCCATCCCCAGGGCACACTGAAACGGCAAATGAGACTGAGCACTGGGATTATAGGTGCATGCCTATAATCCCAGTGCTTGGGAGGCTGAAAACAGGAAAATCACCACAAGTCTGACTTGTGTAGTGAAACCCTATAGACCCTGTACTAAATACATAAAAAAATTAAAAAAAAAATTAAAAAGTGACAAATTAAGGTACTTAATATTTGAGGCTTGGATTTATTTTTTTGAGTCAGAGTCCACCACTATGTATTCTAGGCTGACCTTGACTCAGTGTGTAGCCCAGGCTGACCTAAAATGGTTGACCTTCCCGTCTCAACCTCCCAAGTGCTGGGATTACAGCCTGTGGCACTACGTCTGGCTGGGGTCTGAATATCAACAGATATTACAGAATAAGCTCTTATATAAACAAAATCTGGATATTTTTATACTTATCTAGGTAGTATTCAGCCTTTTTAGAATAAACTATTTTACTAGAAAGGCAGCACTGTTGATCTTCAGAATCATTGGTGATTTATAGTATATTCTATTACTCTCTAGTTTTTCTTACAAATTGGCATATTTCCACCTAGACTAAAAGTTCTTTGCTGGTAGGGACCAACTTTCATAGACTATAGTGAAGTGCTGGACATAGAATATACCTTTAATAATGCCGGTTTTTTCATCTGAACAATACATACAGAAAACTGATAAAGGATTTTAAAGTAGTACTTTAATAACTTTTGATGAAGCAAAACTCTGTTCTCACAGATTTTGAGACCTCAAAATATCAATCTCTAGTGATCACATTAAAAAGATACTTATTTGAAAACTTTTCCTTATACATAAAATGATTATGATAAGCAAGTCTTCATTTGCTTTTGGGTGGCAGGGTCTTGCTATGTATGCCAGGTTGGCCTTGAACTATATACCAAATTGGCCTCAATCTAATGATCCTCCTGCTGCACCCTCCAAGTGCTCCAAATACAGGAGTAGGACACTACAGCTGACTCAGAATTGATGCTTGATAACCCAATTCCCACCTGATTCAATTTTTGGCAACAGGAGAAATTTTTAAGTACATGTCCTTGCTTGTAACCAATAGATTACAACTGAAAAGGTTTGTAATTTGAATCCACTGTACCTCCTTCATGTGAGGAGTGAATTGTAGATACAATATATTTTTGTTCAGTTTGTAATGAGGTAAAATTTTGCTCAAAGTAGACTGGAATTCTTAAGTTGAATCCTTAGGTAATCTCAATTGGGTATTTTATTTCACTTAAAATTATTTTATGAAAAAACTGAGAACTGGGATTGTAGCTCAGTATACAGCATTTGTCTTCCATGTGTAAGATTGTGAGTTTGATCAATCCCTGCATTGAAAAGAAAAAAGCAAGGCAACAAACAAGAGGAGGGGAAAAGAGATGGACACAAAGGGAAGAAAGGGAGGGAAAAGGAAGAGGGAGAAAGACAGAAGGAAAGGAGGAATGGGTAGAAAGAAATGTAATCAAATACTCCTGGGACTAAAGGGCTTAAAATACTTCCTATATAATTCTCAAAACTTCTGTAACTACAGCATATTACATAATATTTGATAAAACTCTTTACTCATAACAAAACTAATAATATTCAGCATACTGTTTAGACAACTATACTAAACATTATAATTTTTGTTATTTTAAAAAATAGTCAAAGCTTCAATATTGATTGTAAACTTGTTAATTAAATCTTTTTTTTTTGGTGGAACCGGGGATTGAACTCGGGCCCTTGCACTTGCCAGGGAAGTGCTTATTCCACTGAGCCATCTCCCCAGACCATAATTAAATCATTTAGTATACATTTCCCCATTAATTCAATTGAATATTTTGTCTGACAAACTTTAAAAAGTTTATTTTTTTATTTATGGTGCTACCAAGTTCCAGTAGAGGCAGTTTTCCATTTTGTTAAGGAAACATGGTCATACAATCAGGTCTGAATAACAAAAGTTAAGAAAAACAAATGCTCAGGGCCTGGTGGTACCCACCTCTAATTCTAACACTTAGGGAAGCTGAGGCAGGAGGATAGACACAGGTTCTAAGCTAGCTTAAGCTACAGATTGAGTTTAAAGTCAACCTCAATTACACAGTGAGACTCTGCCTCAAAAAGGTGGGGGGGGGAGGAGAAAAAGAAAAACAAATGCAAGATTATCTATACTGCCAAAGTTAAACATAAAATTTCCAGAATTCTAGGAGATAATGAATTTTTGACATATACCTGTAGGATTATTTAACTTTCCCCCTTTGCTTTTAAGTAATATGTCAGTGTACTAAATATTTGCAAAATGGGTATACCTGAATCTCTTCTACAGCTATAGAAATTGGTTAACATGACAGAGCCA